TGATGTGGCAGATATCGTCTGTCAAAGTGCTCCATGGACCGGTTTGCGTAAAAATTGCGCTCCGTCGATGCCGTCACAAGGCTTGTCTCGAGCTCGAGGATGCGAGTATTCCACTCGGTCGTCACCGCTACCAGTTGGGCTTCCAGCGCAGCGATGGGCGCCGTGGCGGTGGTAGCTGGAGTCGATGGTGTTGTTGTTGGGACTGGACGAGTGGCCGGTTGCGTGCGTACGGGTGGGTGAGGCGTCGGTGCGGCTTGTTGGGAAGGAACCCGAGCCGTCGGTGGCGTCCCTTGGAGAGACATGGTCATGCGGGCGTCGGTGGGTGCCAACATCGTCTTCAAGGCGGCGTTGCTGGAGCTCTTCCAGCGGGGCTTGTCATCGTTGTCATCGTTGTCGTCCGTGCGATGGAGCGGATTGAAGAATGCGCTTTGACATTTCTTTCGACGTGTAGAGGCAACTTCACCGTCGCTTTTGTCGGCGTAAAAGCTCATGGCGATGGATTTTACGTGTGGAAAGGGTCCTTCGGCTGGGACAGGGCTGACACCCCAACCCTAGTGTCGTCTAACTTATGAGGTACACATCGTGCATCAAGCAACCGCAGCGCACCTTCCAGGAGACAGCAAGCAGCCACGACCCATTGCCTCTTCTGGTACAATGCCTTGGCAGCGTCGGCGTGGCTGCTACACCCTTATAGGTAGTCGAATCCTTTCCTCCTGACCACGTGAGCAGCAGTACGCCGGGATTCCGTCGACAGTAGAGGAGTCCCATACACTACATGCATCGTATATTCACGGCGTATTTACGCAACACCCTTGACGGCAACGTGGACGGCGCCGACGACCTTGCCGACCGCGTGCGTGCGGCTGGCGCGAAACACGAGCGGCAGGTCCGGGCGCAAGTACTCTGAGCAATATACAAACTCAAAGCGGAGGTGGCACACGTCCTTCGCATACGCAACGCGCACAATCTTGGCCGTTTGCTGGATCGGGCCCGCGTGAATGACGCCTTGCACGTTCTCCTTGAGCACGACGCTTTCGTTGACGAGCTGGACTTCGGCGTCAAACTGCCGCGTCGCAATGGGCTACACGCGAGTCGGTCGAGTGACATTCGAAACAGTAACAGCGTACACTCAAGCTCGGGTGCACGAGCATCATGCCTTTGCGCATCATGGAAAAGTCAATCTACGTGCGGACGAGACTTGAGAGATTGATACTTTCAACTTGGATGTACCGCCGAGTTGATGCTCAACAGAAGTGCGCCGGCTTGGCCTGCAAAGATGCGCTTCGCGGGGGTTCGCTGGACTTCGATGCTCTTGACGTGCACGCCGTAGAAAGCGCCGGTGGCGGTCGGGCCGAGCAAGAGCGAGTCGCCAACACTCACCGTGCCACTATGCCTTTCCGTTGAAGAGGATGATCGCATCGATGGTACCTCTTGACGAGACCCGTCACGATGCTGCCAGCCTCGGTGTCATAATACCCACTCAAGTGCACCTCGGCCGAGCACTCGTCACGGGACGTCCACACCTACGCGCCTGCGTCACGCAACGACTTGGTGTAGTGGCACAAGTACGCGCGTGGGCAGAATCGATGCCAAGAACGTCTGCAGCTGCGGTAACGAGGCCCCTGTGACGCTCGAGACGATAAAGATGGGCACCGAGCCAGCTATGCACGGCGCCGAAGTTGTATCTGCCACCACGTGCGACGCGTTCTTCATCGACTATAGCACGTCGATCAGGCGCTCCGGTACATCCGGTAATCGTTACCTCGAGAAGCGATTGGACTTCGGCGACCGTCGCCGCTATCCTCGCCGCGGCCGCCACGTCGGCCTTGGTGACGACAACAAAGACGGCGACGTCGAGGCCCAGCACGATCTGAAGGTGCTCGCGCGTCATCTGCTGCACGCCTTGGGTCGCGTCGACGACCAGCATGGCGTAGTCGGGAAACTGACTCGTCAGGCCCGTGGCTACTCGATCCTCGCTTGATACAGAGCTGATACAACTCAAATTCTGGGTGTACCCGTGATCTTGAGGTAGCGTTCGTGGCCCGCGAGGTCGCTAAACATCACGAGCTTGTGGCTCTGGGACTCGATGCTGGATGCGTGGCGGCTCTCGAGCGTGTTGAATTTACAAATCTTGCCGTCCTTGGTCACGCCTAGCATACGATTTAAGTCGTCAGTAGTTGAGCCAGGTCGGCGAGGCCCAACCCATAATCTGCTCGCTGATGCTCGACGTCCGCCCGTCCTCTACCTCGTGCAAGTGGCTACGTGCGTGCTGAGGGCGCTGTGCATCGACGCATACAACTCACCGGAAGACTTGCATACGCGCTAGCCCATGGCCGTCGTCGAGGCAGCCGCGGGTGAGGACCCCGATGAGCGTCGACTTGCCGCTCTCGACACTGCCAATCACCGACACTAGCAATTCACATGAGCACCGCAGCGTCGGTGCGATGGACATGGTACCTCGCACTTGCTTCTTCGCATGCGTGTCGGCGATGCGCGAGATGCACACCCGCGCGGCCTTGCGCCCGGGCTCGTTGCCGTCGCGAAGCGTGACGAGGCGCATTTCAGCACCGAGCACTTGGCACATACGGTAGAGCGTGGCGAGGCTCATCTCGAGGTCTTCCGGAGACATGCCCACGATGCGACCGCCGTCCGAGACGCCCATTTCGTAAAAGGCTTCGCCGTGACCTTCGTTGAGGCGCCAGTTCATTTGCGTCACGAGGTGCTGGAAGCGCTCTACCTCGCCAGCGTCAGCACCATGGAGCCACAACGTCATGTACCTGGCGACGGGTTGAGCAGCTGGACTTTGTACTCGACGTTGCCCTGCTCGACCTCGGCGGGAAGCACGTCCATGGCTGCGCTCCGACGACAGGTTTCTGATTTTGAATCTTTGGTCGGGCATGTCCGGATACATCTATTTGTATCCGGTATGCCGGCGCGCGAACCAGGATGAAACCCCTCGAGAAACTTCTCTCGCTTCGCAGCGCGCCACGATGTTCCTGCGGTAAAAACGCGCCGTCGGATTGCCTTTAACGCATGGCAACACAGGGTAAACACACAGGGTAATCAGGTCGTGCACAATCCAGTCAACTGGACGAGAAACAGCGCCATACCGCAAAGGTACATACCCTTGCATACCGGTGCCGCCTGTTAACACCTGGAGCCCTCCCGCGCCCACTGCAGGCCCGTAGCTTGGCAAAGCTTCGGCTCGTTTGCGACTGTAACCAGATGCGCCATCGGCCAAGTCTGGTTGCTGGCGCTCTCTCAGCCTTTCTGGCGCCACGGCTACGCAAGGTACGGGTGACTTCGCACCGAGGCGATTCATGACTCTCTGAGCCAGGAGCCATTTACAGCAGTCCGGTTCATGTGTACGACGCCAAGAGCGTCATTCCAGTTCAGGCCGTCACGTCATGCGTTGCCGTCACTCAAATGGAGCGAGAACACAAACTTGTCATTCACAATGTTACTTCGAGTACTTGGTACCGTTGGGCGCCGTGTACGTGGCGCTGCCTTGGCCGTTGTTGTAATACGTCGAGCCGTTCGAGTTTCTATTTCATTCGCGATAAGAACTGATCGAAGTTGGGGTTGAGCGTACTGGTAGTAGTACGAGCCGTTCGTGTTCGAGTAGTGGTAGCTGTTGGTGTTGGGCTGCGAGACCGCGGGCGAGTTGTACGTGTTGCCTTGGGAGTTGGTACCGCGGGGCATGGCGATCGGCGTGGTCAATTGGTGGAAAAAGGGAAAGTGGCGCCGCTTCCTGAACGTGCACAGGAGAATGGACCAATCGCGTGCATTCTTCCACGGAATTCCAGCCAATCACAAGCGCAGCTTTTTAATTTCTTGCCCCTTTCGCCACCATTCGGCACGTGCCACCCCGAATGTGTGCCACCTGCCTTGAAGTGACAGCACCAGACCTCACCAGACCAGACTGGATCTGGCGAGACAGCCATCCCTCACTCTCACGCTCCTACGGTCACTCACACCCCGTTCCATCAGCTCAGCTATCAGCTCCATGAGGACACTAGGTATCGGAGTAATTCGCGTGGAGTCGACAGCGAGGTCTGAAGGTGGTGGCCCCGACGGGACCTCGAGCACCATGTGCAACTACCGTGCCACGGCGCAACCAGACGCATGAAGAAGCCTGGCTGAATAGCTGATTATCTCTTCGTTACCACCAAGGGCATGTGCATGGGGCATGCATTCCAAGGAGTTATGCGCTTGACTGGACTACAACTGGAATAGTAGATGGACTATACATGCCTGGTATTTGATATACGCCAGCGAACCGGCGTCATATAAGCTGGGTAGTAGCGCTGGTGGAGACCGAGATGGCGCTCTTGATTCAAAAGAGCCATTTCGAAGCGATCATGGTGCGCAT